CCGGCTGGGGGGGCTGCCTTTGGAAATCCGACCTCGTGGTTTGTCTTTGGTGTGACGCCGCAGTAAGAACGTCTTCAGTTGCCAAGTGAATGTTTTTATTTCCTTAATGCAGTGCCTTTTGTAGGAAAGATGTTACTGAGTGTTGCTGCCTCCTTGCCTTTTTAGCAATATAGAGCTTTTTCTTCCCCCACCCCCCAGAGTAAGGAGCTTTTCCTGCTGTTGGCTTTTGCTTTCTCAGAACAGAATAGCCTTGTTCTGTTTTTGTGCATGCTTGTAGCCTTCCCTGTGGCTGTCATCCAGGGTCTTTAAGTGTTCTAAGTCATTCACACTTTCCAATTAACGCTGTAATGTTAACTGCTTATCATGCAGATTTAAAAAAATTGTAGCTCTTTATTTCTCTGAAAGATATTAAGTTGAAAAGTCAGTCAAAACCAGGAATTTGGGCATTAAACATCACAAAACTATTTATAGGTCAGCTTTTTGACTTTGGTATAAGCTCATACTGCTTCTTTGGTACTGTTCGAATTACTTGATTAAAGTTTTAGAAGCTACTCTAGAGCTAATTGATGTAGGCTTTTTGTCTATGATTGAGGTACTCTAAAATGATTCTCTTCTAAGTACATATATGTGACTTTTAATATAAACCTTTTTTAGTCATTCCACAGATTTTGAAGTACATAGGAATTGGCTTGCCATCACTCACAACTTGCCTCTGTCCCAGTGGTACTATGAAGTAAGTTGGATGGTTTGGGGAGGAGGGGGTTAAACTGTGTGTAAGCTACAGGCATATTGGACATGTCAACCTTTTTGATGGTGAAGGGACTGGAGCGTCTCTCAGATGAGGAAAAGCTGAGAGAGCTGAGGCTATTCATTCTGGAGAAGAGAAGACTGAGAGGGGGATGTGATCACCGTGTGTACAAGTATCTGAAGGGAGGGTGTCAAGAGGATGGGGCCAGACCCTTCTCAGTGGTGCCCAGCTACAGGACGAGAGGCAGCGGGCACAAACTGAATCACAGGAAGTTCCATCTGAACATGAGGAAAAACCTCTTTCCTGTGAGGATGACTGAGCACTGGCACGGGTTGACCAGAGAGGTTTGTGGAGTCTCCTTCTCTGGAGATATTCAAAAGCTGTCTGGACCCGATCCTGGGCAATGTGCTCTAGGTGATCCTGCTTGAGCAGGGGTTTGAACTAGGTGATCTTCAGAGGTCCCTTCTAACCTCAACTACTCTGTGAGTCTGTATCCCGTCTTTTTACCAGTACTACACCAGAAAAGCTCAAATCACGTTAAGCTCTGTACAGCTAGTTCTTCTGTTGTGAAGGAGTTTCTGTTGAGTAAGGGCTACTGAGATAAAATGTGTTGACCGACTTGCTATGCTTAACTGTATATGAAGTTTTTTAAATAGCATGCCTTATTCAAAATGCTGAATTACTTGATCTTCTCTTGTTTTTAGGATACTTCAGAGTGGACCTTGGATTATCCACCATTTTTTGCTTGGTTTGAATATGCGCTTTCGCACGTTGCCAAGTACTTTGACCCAGAAATGTTGGTTATCCAAAATCTAAATTATTCCAGCCATGCAACTGTCTTTTTCCAAAGATTTTCTGTCATCTTTACAGATACCCTTTTTATATATGCAGTTCGTGAGTAAGTCTTAATGTTCTAATTTTAGGGAGAGTGGGTAGTCTTTAAAATCCTGATTTCTAGAATAACAAGAAGTTATTTGTACAGATGAGCTTGTAAATACATGGAAAATCAAAGTTGTTTTAACCTATTCCAAGAGAAATTGAGAACATGCTGCTAAATGCAAATTAGCTCTTTTATTATTCCTGGAGATGATCTTGCTATACATATGATTGGATCTGTACATGTTGGCAGGTTAGGTGAGCCCAACTGTTTTTTCATAATACTTTTCTTATTACTGTGTTCTTCCTGATCAGAAATGTGAAGGAAACTTGTGATTAAATACCCAATGATCAAATATGCTAAGCGAATCTATTTTTTTTTTTTTTATTCTTGCTGATAAGCCAGAAAAAAAAGACTAATCCAAGTCTTACACACACACACACACGCACACGCACAATACTAGCAGTTGTGTGTGTTGTTTTTTTTTTTTTTTTAAATGTACCTTGGCTTTGCAAAGCGTAAGTGTTCATCTTATACCTAAAGCGTAGAGTGGAGGAAGATGTCGTGGGAATTGCTGTTTTGCCTACCATAATGATTTGGTTATAACAGTCTTTCTACCCAGATTTTGTGCAGATGGAATAAAATGGACAAAGTTATATGTTTTCGCATTGCAGCACGTGAACTCCTTCAGGTGGCTTTCGGCTAGGACTCCCCTACCTGGGGGTTGTGTCTGGTGGGGGGGGGTCCCCCCCCCCCGCCCCCCCCGTTCATTGTTCTGGTTCAAAGGCACATGAATGAGCTTGTTCTTTTAAGATGGCACTGCTTAAACCAAATCAACACAAGTCATCCCTAAGTTCTTAATCTCACCTTCAGCATAATGCAGACCATAAGGCTTCACACTGAGGAGTAATAAGCTATTATAAAACAATAGAAATATAGCTTATAGTCTTGACGGGAGCCAGGAATAGGGTAATATCTTCCTGAGGACTTTAAATACAACTTGGTGTACTGTCTCCAGATACAGCAGTACTTTGTTATTGGGTGAGAAATTCATAGTAAACAAGCTATGACAACTATACAGGTTTTTATTATTCAATAAATATTAATAAATAATATTATTATTATAATCATGAGACTCCTTAAGTTACTTAACGTAAACTTTAGCATGTGGAAAATACTACAGTTATTTAACTTTAAAGTCCTTTTATTCACTAAATTTTATTCATGACATTCTCTTGACTTGGTGAATTTAGCAAAAATTTTATTATTGTATTTTATGCTAATAAAGTAGATATCTTCAAGTTAAATGCGCTTTCCAATTAAAAAAAAAGTTGTTGCTTTTAGTGTTAGCTGTTTCAATTAATCTTTCCTTTCATACTACTCTTATTCAGATGCTGCAGATGTGTAAATGGGAAACGAGCTGGAAAGGATATTATGGAAAAACCAACATTTATTCTGGCTGCTCTGCTTTTGTGGAATTTTGGGTTGTTAATTGTGGATCGTATCCTTTCAAATCATTGTGGTTTGTTTTTGTTTTCATTTTCTTAACCTGTTACAGCATTTCGTACATACCGATAAACGTTATTTCTATCATAGAAAGTAAAGTTGCTAGCTATGTTCATGAGGTTAGCTGAAAAACTTCATTTTTTCATGAGAGTTATTATTTGGCCAAATGGAAAACGTTCAATTTTTGATCTGATTTGCCAGAACTTCAGGAGGACCAGCTTGGCAGCGACATGCCTGTTCTGCTGGCTGCTCCTTCTCCACCTGCCTACAGAAATATTAGGGGAGAGACTCTTTCCTGGTTCTAGGTCTGTCCCGTGGCAAGGAAAATCTTAAGTGTTTTACGTTCAAGTTGCATTGAATTGATTTATTCTGCCTGAGAGTTAGTGACCCTTTAAAGAGGATATAAAAATAACTCTGGGAGGTTTAATTATTGTTACTCGGTCTCGACATAACGTGCATCAATCTAGCTAAAGAATGAACATAGAGGAGAAAATGACGACAATTATCG